TCTCCGTTGCTGTTTCTGCTTGTCCCTGTTCTGCTTTCTGACAGATTTGTGACTACATGACAGTCATTTTCCCTCCTCACAGGAGCACGAGAGCTTGCTTTCAAAGTGGCAGAACAAATCCATGGAGAACCTGATTGAACTGCACAACAAGGCCCCAGTTTGGAGTGACGACACCCAGTCCTACGTCCTCAACTTCCACGGCAGGGTCACTCAGGCGTCAGTGAAGAACTTTCAGATAGTCCATGGAAATGACCGTGAGTGCGGGGGAGGGGCTGTGTGGGTGGAGCTGGGAAGGCATGCCGGGAGGGAGTGGCTAGAGAACCAGTGCCACGAGGGAGAGCCTGAAGAAAAGAGATCTTGAAAAGACAGAGCCGCAGGGCCAGAGGAGTGTGAGCGTCCTTCTGTGGCGCGGTAAAGAACTCTTGGTGAAGCCGGCCAGGTGCCTGCAGCACTCATCACGTCTGGGTCCGCCAGCTTCTCTGGGCTTCCCTCCTGTCCTTCGTGTTAGTCGGGAATCATGTCCAAGCCTATAGGAAGAATAGAAGTAGAAAGTTGTAGTTTTACCTTTTTGAGTCAGGGTCTTGCTATGCAGGCTCAGATGGTAGAGCTGTCATCCTCCTGCCTCATCCTCCTGAATGCTGGGATTACAAGTGTGTGCTACCACACCTAACTGCAAGCTTCCTACCTTATCTATCTGTCCGTCTGTCTACCATCTATCTATCTGTCTATCTATCATCTACCCATCATCCATCTATTTATCTATCTATCTATCTATCTATCTATCTATCTATCTGTCAATCATGTTATAAATAAACGCTTATTGGCCAGGCAGGAAATATAGGCGGGAAAAACATACAGGAAGTAGAAATGATATAATGAGAACAGGAGAGTTCTGGAAAGGAGGAAGCTGATTCCTCCCATTCCTGCCCAGACCACCGAAGCAGCAGGATGTGCTCTGCCCCATTGAAAAAAGGTACTGAGCCGTATGGCTAACATAGATCAGAAAAACGGGTTAATCAAGATGTGAGAGTTAGCCAGTGAGAGGCTAGAGCTAATGGGTCAATCAGCTTTATAACTTACAGAGATCTTTGTGTGATTTTTTGGGGGGGGCTAAACAGTTGTGGGGACAGAAACCCCAACAAACAAGCAGGCCTGGTCCCCTCATGTTACATCCATCCATCCATCTATCTATCTATCCATCTATCCATCTATCCATCTATCTATCTATCATCTGTCTGTCTGTCTGTCTTTTAATGTTGTGCTAGGGGTAGAACTTGGTATCTTCCACATCCTAGGCAGGTACTGTACTGAGCCGTTTCCCCTCCTCTTACTCGCCTGTTTTAAAGAGAACTTGTGGTTAGCCCTGCCCCCCCCCCACCCCATCCGCAGAACAACTGCATGTTATACTCTAACATGTCCGTTTCTTTCTGTCTCCAGCCGACTACATCGTCATGCAGTTTGGACGCGTGGCTGATGACGTGTTCACACTAGACTATAACTACCCACTGTGCGCTCTGCAAGCCTTTGCCATCGGGCTGTCCAGCTTCGACAGCAAGCTGGCATGTGAATGAGAAACGAGAAGTAAGGGACTTCCTCACCGCAGAGCCTTCAGTAGGAGCAGAAAGCGGCTGCCCTTGAGCTGCCCAGCACAAGGAGAGCAAGATTCTGCCCCTCTCGGGGTTGTGTGTGTGTGTGTGTGTGCGCGCGTGCGTGCGAATATATGTGTGCGTGCATGCGTGTTCATACATGCATATGCGTATACACATGGATGCACGCTTGCACTCACTCATTTACACCTTCTCTGAGCTTCAGAGACCATGTCGTAGATCACAGCTTCATGTGGGTGAGAGATGATTTAAAGCACAGGGAGGCAGGTACCTGGGCACACTGGCGACTCCTGACTGCACACAGATTCTGTGTGGGGTGCAGCTTCCCTTTGCTCAGGCACTTCCAACACAATCAGGTTCTAATAGTTGGGCCTCCTTTTTTGAAGATCCTTTAGCCTCTAAGACAGGAGCCTGCAGACTTTTTCAGCCAATGGTCTGATAGTGTCTCTTGCACTGTCTCCAATTAGCCTCTTGGTTTTTATTTTTGTTTTGTTTTTTTTGAGACAGGGTTTCTCTGTACCTTTGGTGCCTGTCCTGGAACTAGCTCTTGTAGACCAGGCTGGCCTCGAACTCACAGAGATCCTCCTGCCTCTGCCTCCCAAGTGCTGGGATTAAAGGCATGCTGCACCACCACCCAGCCCAGTTAACCTCTTTAGCACAAAAACAGCCATAACCAGTTGGTGCATAGTTTAACTGTGTCCCAATAAAACTTTCTTTACAAAGTGGGCATTGACCTAATTTGGCCTGGGATTCTGGTTTGCTAGCCAGCCTCGGTATGTCCCTATACTCTGAGATTGAAGCATCTCCTAGAATGTAAGTAGAGAAGGGGGCACAGTTTGCTTTATAGGAGCAGCAGACTGACTATTTTTGTTTTGTTTTGTCTTTCCCGAAACAAGGTTTCTCTGTATAACAGCCTTGGATGCCCTGGAACTCACTTTGTAGACCAGGCTGACCTTGAACTCACAGAGAACTGCCTGCCCCTGCCTCTGCCTCCAGAGTGCCTGGCAACAGATTGACTCTTAAGAGGTACTTGTGCCGAGTCTTCTATTGGTCACTTTTACCTCATGGTGATGATGACTATAGAGTCATCTGCCATCAGGGCTGGGGAAGCTCAAACCAGTGTCATATTTTCTTTTTCTGGGTCAGATGGCACTAGCTTGTCCCTGGGGTCTGGGAAGGCTCTCATGTCCCAGCCTCTCTCTCTTCCCTGTCCTTAGAGCAGGGTGGTAACAGTAATCTCAGCAGAGTGACTGGCCAGACCTCTGGAAGTCTTGCTCTCCAGCGTCTTCTTCTAGTGTAGGAGGTGACAGGACCGCCTCGTTGACACTCCACAGGCCTTGCGGGTTGGCTTTGTCCTCTGGCCTTCAAGCCTGGACTGCCAGTGCAGGCCCTCCTCGGCTTGCCAAGGCTTCCGGCAAATCATGAAAAATTCCCCCAATTCGCCAGCTCAGGACATACCTGAGGTTGAGAATTCCAAAGGTTGGACCCTGCAATCAGTGGTCGTCAACTCCCAAACTGCTTCCCCACACGGGTGAAGGGTTGCTGGCTGCTGCCCCATGGTTTTGCCAATGTGGAGGAGGTCCCTTCATCCTGCATCCTGTTGCTCCCTGCTCAGCACCCAGCCTCTTTGTGATGGCCTGAGATCTGGGAGGCGGAGACCTGTGTTCACTGGTGTCCTGGCTGTCCCTTCAGATCACTGATTTCTGCCTCAGGCGTGCTTCCCATAAGTGCCTTGTTCGTAACCGTGCTCTGAAGCCTGACACACCTCCTCCACCACGGTCCCTGACAAGCCACCTTTGTTCGTTTGTCTCCCCCTAAATGGTGTGGGGGCCGTGGGCCACTGGTTCTAATCTTTCTGTCTAGCTTAGAGCACTGTATTCTCCCATTTCCCAGATTCTCTGCTTGAATGTGTAGGTGATCGGTTTTACATAAATCATATTTATACCTTTTGTATGCCATATAAATAAAGATAATTTATATAAAAATGATGTCACCTTCTTCCCCAAATCCCACCCCTTGGGCTTCCTCCTGTTGCGTTCTGTGGGTCTTTGGTTCTTTGAGCCAGTGTTAGCAGAGTTTGGTCCTGGGGGCCACAGACTGAGAAACCTGTTTGGGAGAGCGTATAGATGCACCATACTCCAGAGCTCTCTGCGGGGATCAAGCAACTGAGAGCAGAATGCAAGGGGCACTGGCTGGGCCAGATTGCGTCATCTTTGACAGCTAATAGGTCAGCCTCCTGGATCTTTGGTTGGCGGCGTTTACAGATGCAGCAAAAGAAGTGGAATAGCTAATGGTAAGAAAAAAAAAAAAAAAAAAAAAACCTCACCTACTTGCGTGTGTGTGTGTGTGTGTGTGTGTGTGTGTGTGTGTGTGTATGTGTGTGGACTTTTTAGACAGGGTGTTGGGTACCCAAGGCTGACCTGGAATTCACTGTGTTGTAGCCCAGGCTGCCTTTGCGCTCACAGCCGCCCTACCTCAGCCTCCCAGGTCTGACCGCAGGACTGGGTCACCACACCACCTCCTCACGTTTAAGGGTTCCCTGCATCGGCACATGGAAAGAAAGCACGCGCCTGTAGATCCCTCGAGGGCTTTCACTCCTCCATCAGCAGTAAAGACAGGGAAAGCCGAAAGCCCCCACTGAGAATTTAGTTCTTAATAGCCTGGTTTTTCCTTTTGTATAACTCTATGTGACTAAGGTCCGTGATGGCTTTGGTTGTGGGTTTTTGCTTGTGTCTGTGTTTGTGCACGTGTGTGCCTGGGCTAACAAAGGCCGTAGAGGGCACTGACTGTGCTTTAGCTGGAGTTACAGACTGGTGGGAGCTGTCCTGTGGGTGCTGAAGACTGAACTCTGGTCCTCTGGAAGAGCAGCCAATGCTCTTAGCCACTAAGCCGTCTCTCCCCTCTGCCTCTGTCTCTTGAGTGTTGAGATTCAAATAGGCTCTTTGTTTAACAGCTTAGTGATCAGATTTAGTGATCAGAGGGTTGGTTTGTCTTTCAGTATTAGTGATGGAATCCAGGGCCTCGTGTGCCAGCTCACACTCTTAGCCAAAAGAAAGGATCCAAATTGAGCATGGGGACATGCCTGTAATCCTAGAATTTGGGCCGCTGAGTACGGAAGCTCTTGAGTTTGAAGCCGGCTTGGGTTACATACTGAGGTCCTATGTGAATAATTCTTCCTCTGCTCCTCTTCCCCCTCCTCCTCCGCTTCCTTCTTCCTCTTCCCTCCTTCATCCTTTCTTCCTTCTCCTCCTCCTTGCCCCAGCTGATTTGGAACTCACTGTATATACTAGGCTGGTCTTGAACTCACAGAGCTCTGTCCACCTCTACCTCTTGAATGCTGTGATTAAAGTTAGTTGCCACTATACTCAGTCTTTAAAGACAAAATCTCACGTTGCCCACGGCTATACTGTAACTGTGTAGTTGAGGATACACCTGACAATAGCCTCTTTTGCAGGTGGCTGTGTTGTATAGACCCGGTCATGTGCAGGTGGTGTGTGTAGGTACACTTGTATGTGGAACTAGCTCTTGTAGACCAGGCTGGTCTCGAACTCACAGAGATCCGCCTGCCTCTGCCTCCCGAGTGCTGGGATTAAAGGCATGCGCCACCACCCCCGGACATTCTCATTTTTTTGAGAAAAGGTCTCTGACAGAGGCTTTCAGGTTAGGCTAGGCTGGATGGCCAGCGAGCTGAGATTACAAACCAGACTGAGCAGGTCTTTGTGAATTTGAGGCCAGCCTAGTCTACATGAGTTCCAGAGCAGCCAGAGCTACGTAGAGAGACCCTATCTCAAAACAAAACCCCCATAAGCCAGGCCTTTCTAAGCTTTCCTAGTAGGAACTCTTTTACCAACTGAGCCGCTCCCCCACCCCACCCCACCCCCAAGTAAACATCTGTTTCACTGTGTATGTCACTGGTTAGGTTGACACTTGTGATTTCTTCTGTCCTATATGTAATTTTCTGAGGGCACAGAGACATCCACCGAGGAAACACTGGGGCACTGCAGGCCACCCTGTTCCCAGCCTCTGTCCCTCTCTGGTCTCCATTTATCATGGGCTGGCTGCTGTTTTTTTTGTTGTTGTTGTTTTTTGTTTTGTTTTTTTTTTTTGCTTTTTTTGTTTTTCGAGACAGGGTTTCTCTGTGGCTTTGGAGCCTGTCCTGGAACTAGCTCTGTAGACCAGGCTGGTCTCGAACTCACAGAGATCCGCCTGCCTCTGCCTCCCGAGTGCTGGGATTAAAGGC